AAAAAAAAAAAAAAAAAGAAAATGGAGAATATAGTTACTAAATGAAAACTTCCCCATTATGTCCCTGTTGATGGTCCTTCTATGGAGACAGACACATACACATATACGTGCACCCCCCTCCATTCTTTCATTAATTCATTCTTCAGTCAATAAACCAGCATCAGATTCTGTTAGGTGTTGTGGATATAAAACAAAGAAGAACATTTCAAGTACTATTCTAAAGTGAATAGCAGTTAAAAGTCTCAAGAAAAGCCTAGCTTGGTTCTATAAATATTGAGCTACTAAGAGGTAATGTGGAAAGTTTTGTGGCTCCACATCTATATTAATAGATGTTTCATAACCAAACAGTCTTTTACTGCAATCTCTGCTACGTGAATGGAAAATACTAGATACCAAGTCCCATGCAGTGGGAAAGCATATACGTAAATTTAACTGCAAATAAAAATAAGTTTAAGGTCTTTTTTGCATAAAATGTGTCTTACCTGCTTGCTTTATGTAAAGTAGATGAACCTGGTAAGGGTGATTGGTTTAAATATCAAAACACAAATTAAATTTGGATCCCTCTACATTGGGTTGAATAGTACATCCTGAAAGTTGATGTGCATCTGTGATTCAACTTAAGATTAGGTCACACTGGATTGGGATGGGCTGGTAACAGAAATCTAACATGATTGGTGCCCTATAAGCAGTGGGAAAATTGGACACAGACACACAGGAAGAATGCAGCATGGTAACAGAGGCAGAGAGTGAAGTGATGTGAGTACCAGGCAAAGGAGACCAAGGATAGTGGTCAACCGCCAAAGGCTGGGAAGAGGCAAGGAAAGATCCCCCCTGGGGCCTTCAGAGAGAGCATGGCCCTGTTGACACCTCAATTTCAGACTTTTAACCTCTGAAATTGAGAAAGAATAAATTTCTGCTGTTTTAAGCCACCTACCTTGTGGTACTTGTTATGGCAGCCCTAAGAAATTAATATAACACCTCCCCTAATTTTCCCTATCCTCTCTCTCCCCTTAGAAATTTTACCCCAAAATTTTAGGGTTTTTTTCCTATCAAGTATGGGAAAAGATTTTACTATTTACTATCTAGAATAATTTGATAGACATCTAACATTATATATTATAAATTATTTTTAATCTCTAAATACTTTAAAAGTATAATTACAAGTTAATCCAATATATGTTTTATCATTCAACCAGAACCTAGCCAAAAAAAATTTTTTTTTTTTTTT